ATGCAATCGTGTGTTCCAAGACATCTTCTGGTGGAGTGTTAGTGGGTCATTACTTATTGCCGAATCACAGGACTCCAAAAATCTCCAAACCGGTATGTACTGGTTTATCTTGTTCATGTCTATTCCTCAGTCTTTAACAATATCTGTAGTTCATCTCAAAATTCCCGTCTACACATATACTACAAATAATTTCTTTTTCTCTAGACCCCGTCAGGTTTGACGCACATGAGTGGTGTATACGAAAATGGAATCATCAAGTGTAGGTATGTCGTATTTAAAAGAACACTACATGTACAATTGCCACGTTTGCCGACACGTTTGTCTCTCTTTGCGTCCCATTTTTGCGTCCCATTTTCTCGCCCCACTTTCACGCCCCATTTTTTGCCTCTTTTTTTCACTCTGTTTTGCGCATCATTTTTTCGCTCCATTTTCATCGGGATATTGTACTATGCACTACATACTAGTCAGCATAGATGAGAGGAATGATTTGAATCAGTTTGCAATCAAACTAATTGCGAATGATGAAGCGAGCAGCAAAAATAGCCATCTGTTTCTAATCATTTATTTTTATAAAAGTCATTTTTTAAAGTTTTATACAGACATGTTTGGGCGGATGCTTTTGCCTTGTTAGTAATAACAATATATTTATTTCCATTGACAGGTTCCACCGCTCTATCGACGCTATTCCACCCTTGAAGTATGACCTGAATAAGGCTTATTATTTAATCTACGCCAGGGGACCAACATCAGGTAACAGATAAATGAAGTACAAACACTCGTTATCAGAGTTATTTTGGAAGAGATTACCTAATAACATAACTTACCGGCGAGTGGACCATATCTACTTGGGCGCAATGTTTCCCCATTTCACACCACGTTTCATTCTCTTGATAATAAGATTTTTTGTTGATTTGTATCCATATTCATGTGTCTTCTCATGCTCAATTGTTAAACAAAGAAATGATACTCTAGGGAATGACACGTGGTCTGAATAGTGAAAACATTACCCCCAAGTTGATTTAGTCCATCCCATTCACTCTCCGCCATACACGTTGATTTTAGCCAGAAAATGGATAACCTGGAGCCGCAGACCTCGTTTCTTTTGAGCTGAAATTTGTTTATTTCCCGTGCAATGGGCAAGTCAGCCTTGTACTTGCTACTGTAAATTACAGTAGAATAAAGACTTGTATCATATGACCCGTACGGCCCTGCTCGCGCGCTCTAATAAAACCATTGGAAAAAGTCACGTGATGGGGGCCGGACGGGTTGACGTAAGCTTAGTTAGGTCGGGCCGTACGGGAAAATATTTGGCTCTCGGTCATTTGTACGGACCGAGCGCAGCGAGGTCCGTACGACATGACCTCGAGCCAAATATTTTCCCGTACGGCCCTCCCACTCAGTCAATAAGTACATAGTATCCGTCATTTCATTTCAGATAGCGGAGAACTAATGTACCACGATTGGAGGGGTTATTCTTCTGAGCAACGCAAACTGACGTCTGTAGGGCCCGTGGAAGAATCGTCCCATGTACTCTAAGAAATCTTTTCAATCAATTGTCACGTGATTTGGTCACGTGTTTGAGTTGTTGTTTGAGACTTAAGCCTCGGTTACCCAGACCCCTCTCTTGAGCGAGAATCGAATTGATTAAACTCTTTCAAGGGTAAAATGTTTAGTTGGTGCTCTGCTTATTTGAAAAGACAAGAGGGCTCATTCCTTCTGTTTTATTCAAGTTGCTTGTTGACTGCATTGGTTTCACTCTCACGCTCTGCTTCTAAATCAGCTAACTAGTTTTGGATAGCTTTCTTTAATGATACCCCGAAGGGGGGAGAGGGTGGGGGATACTAGGGCTGGTTCAGTGATAGGGATGTTCTGCTGGGATGAGAAAAATCCTGACTCTGTCTAAGACAATAACATCTTTTAAAAAACCCTGTTCAAAGACAACACTGAAAATTGTTACACCATCAAAGACCCAACAAAATGTAGCGGCGTTTGTGGTGAAAGCTATGCGCTAAGCGCTTAACATTGTTTGCGTGGCGAAAAAAAGTCAAAACTGAATATCTAAGACTCTGTGTAAACGCTAGGTAGCGCTAATCTATCCAAGAATGATGACTTGGAAATCTTATACTCTGCGTCAAGCCAAAATCCCAAAAAACCATATCCTATTCAGCGAATCATCATCCCATATCTAGACCGTATATTGCAGTACATTCCTCCTCCTCCCTCCCTCCCTGAATAATGCTGCTTAACGCAGACAGGCCACACATGACAATGTTTTGGGTAACTCATAACCAGTTTAGACGGCACCTTTTTCAACAAGATTCCGGTTGAGTTGAGGCAATTTATAATATGCCAACTGCATGAAACAGTGGCCAACGTATTGGAAGACATTCAGTGGCGGGATCCAGACATTACTCAAGAAAACGCCAGGAGATGAACCATCACGTGATAATGAATCCTTTGCGTGTTTTGAAACACGCCATCCTAGACCTCCCTAGAACATTCTGATACATTCTCGTAACGGTTCGTAGAATTGCAGAATTGCTTGATCATAGATCAATCAAATTATTGTAGAATTATCTCGTTTTTTAACGAAATATTGCAAGAACTTTTTAATAAAATAGTAATGGTATACCTGTGGTACGGTCACGATATGTTCTTGTGATATCAAAGGCCATGAGTATGAACTGACAGAAATTAATGTGGTGATCTCTCTAAAGGTGTCACGTCATGTATTTACTTTGTTATGTCTGTATTTTCAATACGTTTTGGCAGATTCTTCAGTAGTGTAACATTATACGACGTACAGGCTTATGTACCTTTTTATTCAAAATGATATTTGATACATCCTGGCTGACCTAGCTAGCGACATCAAGTTAAGTCTACATAAAAACCTTACCGCATACCGGTCGTCATTTCTAACCAGACTGCAGATTTGGACACATCTTTCGCTTGTTGAAATCAGCCATGGCTTTTCAAAGGATATATTATTTTGCTGTGTTAGGTAAGCCCTTTATTGATTCCTTGGCTCGGCTATTGGAAATACTTAAAGCTAAATACACCAGTTATAGTTGTATCAGATCAAGTGGCTTGTTGGTCACCCGATGTCTTGCCAAATCAGGACTCATGTGCATTGCACAATTTCTCCGCATCTTTGCTTCTTGGCTTAGGCATATATGATCAAATAATGATATTATTATTAATCATATTTCTCTTTGTAGCTATTCTTTGTGCTGGTTCAAGGTCTTTTAAGGTAAGTAAGCCACACAGAAAAAACCTAGAATTAAAAAACTTGACTGAAAAAACTATGTTTGCTGTCTTCAGATCAGTAAATCAGGATGTGACAAGACCAAAGGATGTATATCATTTCCACCATCATGTCATTCATCTGATGACTGTGAC